TACCAGTAGGTTAGTTTTGGTAATATTCCTCAAGTCTTACATTGAAGTCTCTGTCAGGTGGACAATGTTGGACTCCACCGGTGAAATATTCGTGTAAACACGGTTGTTAAAACGCTTGCAGATACATATTTCATATTTTATATTTTATATTTTTCGCAAATAACTATTATTGTCGCGGAACCTACCAAAATCCAATTTAGCCTACCAACCTACCAAATGAAAAAAAAAACCTACCTGGTAGGAAAGGATGCCAACACTGCTTGCTCACTGGGCTATTGCGACTGTTACAGCAACGTAAGCGCAATTGAAATGTATTGAAAACAAACAAAAAATTTCATAATCATTCTTTAAAAAGTTAAGTAATGGTTTTTCTTTACTTAACTTTAATGTTCATTAAATGCTGACTCTGAGAGGGAATATATTCAGATCATTACTAAGGAACCTTAAGTAATCATTTAACGACTCTGAGTGCGGCTGTAAAAGTTCTTTGTTTTCAAACAATTACATCAATTACTTAAGTTGATATGGCTCTTAACCCTCGTATGGTTTAAGAGATCCCTAGGTACCTATAACATTTTCACGAGTGTGATATTTCAAAGTGGTAACAACAAGTAACTAAGAATGCTTTGTAGTAAATATCTACCGACTTAGTTGGCATGGTATTGAGCAATATTTGTTGGTTGGTTGGTTACAGTGATTCCTAGTAGCAGGCTTATTTTAGTATGAATGGATAAGGGCTTGATGCCAGGTGATCAAATATCCTTTTTGTTATGAGGTTTTTCAATGCCACGATACGCGGTTTTGTAGTTTAAGCGACGAAATATTTATCTGACATCCTTTCTCAGTCAGTCCAAGGCAACACAGTGTAATTTCTATTTAGATTATTCCAAGAGGTCAAACTAGAGCCACCGCTTCGAATTTATCCAAACAGACTCCTGATTTTGCCACTTCATTAGTTTTCTGATTGCCTTCGATGTTTCTATTCCCGGAAACGCACACTAGAGAGACTGTCGCAAATACATTTTGTATATCTTAAGGCTCCGCCAGATAGAAATTCTTGTCTGCGTCACAGGGATGCTTTTGACTGACATCCAAGTCAACTCTGTGATTTCGAATAGAAGACGCCACATTGGCAACGCATGCGTTGACGCAACTGATAAAATTTGCCCAACTCTCAACTTTTGATGCACGCGTATGCGGCAAACCAACATTAATAACAAAAATGTATAGAACGAATTCAAACCAGCTGATTTTCGACCAATCAAATTGACCCGTTTTGTTTGCGGCAACGTTTTCATTGTGCCACGTCGGCATCTTCTGTGCGTTTTGTCAGTCAAAGGCATTCCTGTGACGCAGAAAAGAATTTCAATATGGCGGGGCCTTTAACCATCAGAAACTCGGTAACCGGATTTGCTATAGCCTCTCCATATCGCACTCGGTCTCTTCTCCCACTTCAATGCCAAGGCACATAAATACAGGTAGAAGCCAAAATGACGTTGCTCTCATGAGAACCAAACCTTTAAACTTCAACTTGATTTTATTTTATTTCCTATATTTCGTTACGCTTAAAATGTCATGTCGTTTTTTTTTTGAATGTTCGTTAAAAACAAATTTTAATTAACATTTGCATTTTTGTAGTGTTGTGCGGTTTACACTTAGTGTATGTGTTAAAAATGCAGCACCTGAAGCGTTGTTTTTTATGTGGTGTTAAATATAAATCAGATACCACTAATTCTTTTAACATGCCTCAATGTCCTTCGCGTAAGGAGCGTTGCGAAAGCAGCTGTGGGGCAGAGCTGCAGCGAAATGCCTTGCTGTGTGTTAAGCATTTTAAAGCAGCAGATTTCATAAATGCACCAGGAGGTACAGGAAAGGCACGTTTGATGCCAAGTATTATTATTATTATTTGTGTTCCGTTGTTTTATTGATTGCCCAACGTTATGCCTAGTACATATATCGCTTTATACGTACATTTGTATATTATACAAAATTAAAACAGGTACTATAAATATAAACTTTCAATGTATAAAAAAATAGAAAAGAACATACAAATTAACAAATTTTAACTAAAGAAAATAAATAAATAAATACAAAACTTCAAATTTACTTAAAAACGTCAACCAGCGAAATGTAATTTTTTTTATTTTTCCTTACACACGCTCATTTTTATTTTTACTCTCCCGAAAACTTTGACTTTTGTAGGTTTGATGTCAATTTGGCTTCTACCTGTTTTTATTGTACCATGCTTCAATGCTGCAGCTGTGTCGATTGTGTACAACATAGTATTTTTTTAGGAAATAAAAAATATCAAGGAAATTAAAATGGTACAGAAAATTGGTCTGAAATTTAAGAAACTTCATAGAGAAATTATTCTAAAACTAAGCAAATTTTTTACCGAATGCATTGAGCTTATACGGCGAAATCGCATTACACTATTTTAACCTTCGAAGTACCAAACATAAAAAATGCTTAAAAGATTCTGCCTCTTGATGATATTTACTGCTTCTGCTACAATCTTGTTGATGCTCAGAATGTGGTGGATAAATGTGTCAATAGTTATGTATGCCTTTATAATTCTTTTAAGGAGTCATATTTTCGCCTTTTCATTCTCAGCAACTTCCATTCGTTAGTAGCTACTACATATGTACATCTAAAGCGATATCTAAAGGAATTTGAATTGAAACCACCTCATTAGAAAGTCTGGAAGTCTGTATGATTCCATACGTGAGAATTACCAGTTGCCTTCCATAATTTATAGATAATGCCAAAGTAGCATTTGTGAAATATACGCATTAAAAACTGGAAATAAAATTTATTGGGATTTCTATTCAACAAATGCGCCGTTTATTTTGAAAGTGGCATAAGTTATTTCCCCAGTTCTTGTACTTAAATGGCCGATTACTGGTATCTGAACGCATCGGTTAATCGTTCAACTTTATCAACCAATAGCAGAAGGTTTTGCCTTTAGTTTATTAGTTTACGACGATAGAACGATTTGCAAATGCATTCGGTTACAACTAGCCGGTCATATAAGCACAAGAGCTGGGAAGTGGCTTATGCCACTTAAAAAAAAAAAAAATTATCGTCTAGAAAATTTTCTATTACTGTCTCATAAAAACTGACATTCGCTCCGGCATACTTTTGATTATTCATGGCGTAATGTGTTTTATATTGATGATCACTATCAGCTAATTTGCAAACAAATAATCTACATACATGAAGTCAAGGTTGTTAGTTCGTCTGCTAGCAATGAAAAGTTCATCTTAATAGTATATTTATTATACATACTTACATCCTGTAATCAAAGTGTTCATTGGCACTTGTGCCGACATACGACCAATGATTAGTGACTTCTCGCCAGTATCGGGATGAAATGCTGAATCGTACAAGTATTTGGCGCGCCACAATTCCTCAACATTTTTGCACTCTGGCACCGGCTTGCCGGCACGATAATTGTGAATAATACGCTTTGCGCGCTCCAGTTCGTCATCGCTGGCCAAAATATTGAGTGGATTGGTGAGCAGGAAGAAATGTTTGGCACGATTTAGATATGTGCTTTGGTCATATTTGGGTTGATCGATATCGATGGTTGGCAGTGGCGTGGCGACCGCAGTTGTTGTTGTTGCAGTTGATGACATATTTAGCGTATCTATAGTATGTATGTGCGTGGGCAGTGGGGCTGTTCGGGCGGCTTATGTTTTAAGGGACACTTGAAAAATGAAAAATTTGAAAGGTATTTTATATTTTNGTATGTGCGTGGGCAGTGGGGCTGTTCGGGCGGCTTATGTTTTAAGGGACACTTGAAAAATGAAAAATTTGAAAGGTATTTTATATTTTTCAAAAATTCACGATTAAATTAAGATACATTAAATGTTTTGACAATTCTGCNTTTGAAAGGTATTTTATATTTTTCAAAAATTCACGATTAAATTAAGATACATTAAATGTTTTGACAATTCTGCTGTATGTAGTTAAGGGATCATTGTGCAAGTTTGTGTGAGAGAGCGCTTGCGTTAGAGAGAGCGAGAGTCCAGGTAAAATTCAACCTGGTCTAATGCTTCAAGAGAATTTAAAACGTGTAAACAATTCGCTCCGCGTTCATAAGCAAATACCTATGTATGCATAAAGGGTGGTTCAAATACAGGTTTACTTTGAAGTGAAAAGAATGAATTTTAATTATCTATGAAATATGATTTCACTCATCATTGTCAACCTTAATGGTTAATGACCTTTATTGCACTTGTTTACGTTATTGCCTAGTTGCCTACATACATATCGTCGTTTAAAGAGCAAAACCGTNTGAAATATGATTTCACTCATCATTGTCAACCTTAATGGTTAATGACCTTTTTTGCACTTGTTTACGTTATTGCCTAGTTGCCTACATACATATCGTCGTTTAAAGAGCAAAACCGTGTATCAGCAAAATGCAAAACCGCGTATGTGAAGTTTTAGAAATTATTTTTTAAAAGGGTAAAAACACTCAAATTTCAAAATGGTTCTCTTTTTTATAAAGCAATCGCATTTCTGGCTAGTATATTTCAGGACGAATGGTTAAGGATTGAGCCAAGAGCTTGTGTGAACAAATCAAATTTTTGGCAGCCAATGTCGGTTAGGCGATTTTGCAGAATGACGATACGCGGTTTTGTACTTTAAACGACGATATGAACATTGGGATTTTAATTTAGTATTAACTAACGATTTAAAATGCTCGAAAAGCCAAAATAGCGATTATTTTTTATCGTAAAAAGAAAAACCATAAAATATTGATTAAAAATAAACGAAACAAATTTGTCATACATGTAGTACATATATACAATATTAGACTGCATCACTCCCCATACAAAAAATATAGGTACGGTTTTTCCATTGTGATTAAAAATCTGTTATATTTTATGACTTGCGCCAAAATATTTGGGAACATTTTTAGGATTTACGATTTGAAAATACCTCCAAAAATTTGTTTACCAAGAAATGCATGTTTCAGGGGTTTCGTCTCTCTTTTAGCACACATTTCCGTATATTGTTGTAATATATGTATAAGCCCCCCGTTTCGCATGCTTGAACCACCCTGTATTTATACGCATAGGTTTTGAGATTATAATAATAATAATTTTTTTATTTCTTTGTGTATTTATAATATAAAATATATATTAGCATAAAATATATATTAGTAGCAAAGCTAAAGAATAAGACGGCAATGCCTATTGATTTGCAAAGGAATGCGCGGGCAGCAGCAATTTTTAGTGGCTCTTATCATATTCAATGCTTATACATACATACATACATATGTACATATATTTGTTTGTACAGTGACTCAAACAAGTGACCATGTGTGGATTTTTAATTTTATTTTCAAATATTCACAATGTTTTTCAAGTTAAATAATTTTTGATATTTTTCTATAAAAATATTGTCCAAGCTTTAACCAGAACCTTATAAATCAAAGTTTTAAGCTTTAAATAAAATTAGGGAGAATTCAAAAAATTTTCCTCAAAATGTCAAAGCTTTTAATCTGAGCCTATAGAACTTTGTATGGTTATGCAGTTTTATTGCCCATACCATTTTTTCTTTGCAAGTTTCAACCGGCTAAAAAATCGCGCTGTTTTTTTATATTTTTTTTTTGCTGATGAATTTTTGACTTTTTTCGATATAATCATAAATTTCTTATGAAATAAAATGCGGAAGACCATTCAGATTTACAAAAAAAAATTAACTTTTGGTCACTTGTTTGAGTCACTGTATGTATGTATATCGGTATGAACGTATAAGTATCTATACTCTCGGATCAGCTGTATGTCGGCAAATGCCGAATGGGCGCGGACTCCAAGTGGTATTACCAAAGTCAATATCCAGTGCACTTAAAGGCAAGGCTTATAAAGCAAAAAAAAACTATATGTAGTATGTATATGTTCAAATATGCACAAACAAGTATACATATATACACACATACATATGTACCAATAAGTGCAATCCATACATCGTTTTTGCCATCGACCTCTTGTCCTTTTGTTTTTACTGCTTATTGCCAAAGAATCTTACATAATTGCGGCTGCTAAGGAATTTAAAAAATCGAAGCACAAAATGCCTACATATCTACATATTTTTTTGCACATTATAAAATTTGTTTTTTGTTTGTTTGGTTCTTATATTGATTTAACACAATTGACATCGCAATAAAGTGAATCACCTGCTTAAAATTCGTATATATTTTCTTATTTCTTGAGGTATTTTACGCCACGCGATTTGCTTCGAATAGGTTGTTTGCTTTTAATTATTTTTTGCGTCCCACTCCACCATAAAATATAAAAAACCAACACCGCCTTATTTTTCTTATATGTATGTATGTATGTACGGGTATTCACGTCGCGCGTTCGNTTGCCAAAGAATCTTACATAATTGCGGCTGCTAAGGAATTTAAAAAATCGAAGCACAAAATGCCTACATATCTACATATTTTTTTGCACATTATAAAATTTGTTTTTTGTTTGTTTGGTTCTTATATTGATTTAACACAATTGAAATCGCAATAAAGTGAATCACCTGCTTAAAATTCGTATATATTTTCTTATTTCTTGAGGTATTTTACGCCACGCGATTTGCTTCGAATAGGCTGTTTGCTTTTAATTATTTTTTGCGTCCCACTCCACCATAAAATATAAAAAACCAACACCGCCTTATTTTTCTTGTATGTATGTATGTATGAACGGGTAACAACGGCGCGCGCTCAAAATACGATTTTCAACTGCTACCGTCGGCAGTATACGGAAAACTGACAGCTGAGCGATAACCAGTCTAAACGTAACCGTACCAATTCCATACTATATTGTTGCTTCTATACATATTAAACAACCCACCAGACATGGCACATACTCTGCATAAATAGGCTGAAAACAACCCGGCGTCTGCGCTTACTCGCATTCCTATCCGAGGCAGCAGCACAACCTTCCAAGTTAAAAGCTATCAGCAGTGGGTATGAGTGCGCAAATGTTGAGCAAACTTTGTACTATAGCAAAGAAAACTTTTTAAATGCTCTTCATTGTACTCCCAAAATTAAAAAATAAAAAGACTAAGAAGGAGAGAGAGAAGCTGCTTCTCTGACAAACTTCTGCCCATCTGTTTGTGATTAACCCAGCAGTGTGTTGGCCGTCGGGTGGCTGAGGTACCTACATACATATAAACATAGATCATGACTATTCCACGTGTCTCTGGCTAGATGTCTGGGTTACGAGACCTTAACATTAATTTATTTCCTAAAGGGATCATTTGTGTTAGTCGTTAACGGGTTAAAATGTTTTATAAAAAAATTGCTCCTAATTTGAGTAAATATTGGTTTTCGAATAGTAATAAATTAGACAGACCAGCGATGGTTTCCCCCTTAAAAAACTAACTAGCAAAAAAACAAGACTGTATCTTAATTTAACATACTTAGATATTAAAAAAATATAACAATTATTGGAACGAGAAAATGTTAAATTTCAAAGCCCTGTGCTAGGTATGAAGATAACATAAACATATGCACAAAACACAGTCTTTATGTCGCACCACCTCTTCAAATGAGTCACAACTAAAAAAAAAAAATTGGTGGCATTTTTGGCATAAAACAATTTAAAGGTGTGCGAGGGTATGTCGACGAGAAATCCAACCTGTGGCATTGGACCATCAATTTATGTGTAAAATTTTCCGCTGAATCCGAAAATGAAGTCAAAATATAAAAAAAAAGCTAATAAGTATTTACTAAGCCATTAAATGCGCCTCTTCGCTGGACGCAATAAAAAATGCCAACAACAATAACTTCTACTCTAACTCAGTCCGCAGCTACATATGTTTTAGAAAACCCGCATAAGGTTAAACTCATATTCATAGGTCCCTGGTCAACGAATATGCCGACCTTGCTGCGAAAAACGCCCCTCTCTCAGTCACACCAAACATACTTTTCTTGGACCCAAAGCGCTACCCAAAAGCAAAGTTGTCACAAAAATACTCAAACACAGACAAAAACCTCTCACAATGGTACAAAAAACAACTCGCACAGCTATCGAACAATTAATCAATATCTTAAAATTAACGCCAAATCCCTATCTGGAAAAGACAAGACAAAAATTATCAGGCTGCGATTGAGGCACACTAGACTTACACATAAACATTTAGGGCCGTTTGCATCATGTCTAGTTAATTCTAACTCCCAGTTAAACCTCTTTATCGGCACCCATCATATAACATGTGATCGATAAAGCAGATGATGTGCTTAACTGAAGGATGTACCTCCAGTTAGCGTTAACTAGACATGGTGCAAACGGCCCTTAATGGACAAAAAAAAAACAGTCTAGCGTCTGTAACTACTGTAACGCGTATCCAAATGACATGACCACATCCTCGATAAATTTACATACATCGACATCCACCGCAAATAACTTTTTTGCGTAAGTCCTTCCGATAACATAACCACTTTGATAAACTATTTAAAATACCGCCATTTATACAACGAAATTTAATAAATTAATACATACACCCTACACACCCTACAGACAACCCACATACATATAAATAACAAACATGTACCCTGTGGGAAAATGCAGCAAGTACCAAACTGGTTTGCGATGTTCTGCGAAGTGTCAATTGCCCCCGCTGAATCCCTTTTTCGATAGTTCTGAACCAGTCCTAACATGATTTTTTCAAATAGAGCGAGAGGTTTTCACATGGTAGCGGTTTTAAATTATTTTCAAAGAAATCTGTTTTCAATTGGGAATCAAATTCTTTTGAAAGAATGTAATTCAACTAAGAATTTTATTTACTTACCTTCGGCTGTAGCTGAGAGTGGAGATGTACTTGCTGTTATCGATTAGATTCCGGAAGATCCTAAAGTGTTATAATCTTGATAGAAATTTTTGTTTTGTATTACCAAACTATGAAAAAGCACCTGTGAAGTGTAGAATGAAAGCGTACTTAAACGAAAAAAACGCCTAACAAATATCAGTTTAAAGTAAACAAGCATCTCCCTGCATTCTTTTTCGATAGTTCCGAGGTAGTTATAAATTCGGTAGATGAGATCTAGCTCGTTCTTTCCCTATTTTTTAGTTCCGAACTAGTTCTAAATTCGTCAACTTAGATATAGATTTCGAATGATAAGTTTGTTTAATGTGTATACATCTTTGGTTTGGGTAGGAGTAAAATTTGCAAATCTGTAATGCGTAGCCCAAGTAGAAATTTTCGAAGGGCTGATTTGCCGCTGTTTAAACTTGACGGCGCGATTGTTATTGTCAATTAAAAACCTTATTAAAAGCAAACTGCCAAAAAAGAAGTTCGGAAATACATCATAAAAAATGTTTGCGAATTGCAAAAAGGAACGTTCGGAAATGCATCACCAAAAAAATAATTCCAATAACGGCAAAAAAAAAAACTTATCAAGTGCACTCTGCGAATTTGCAACCTTCTGCTAGCGTTTCCTTTTTGTAGCACTGCGCCTAAAAATGCACAAAGGATGGAACTAGGAGATGCCCCATTGCACAGCATGATACGGTTGTTTCCAAATTTCCCAAATTGTGTATTGCAGCAGAAAATTGTATTTTCATTAGAAGCACCCTGTGTCTACTTGCTATTGCAAATGATTGCATACATTTAGGCATATACAGTGAGAGAAATGCGGTACATATTATTATTATTTCCGATTATGCATAGGGCTGCGCAATTCATCGATACGAAGGCGGAAAAACGCATTAATTTAAGAAATTTATGGGATTTCCTGCAACAATTAAATCACAAGATAATTGTTTGTATATATTTTTATTGTATTATTCATTTCTTTAAGCATCAATAATTGATTACTTTATTTTTATTTAAATAAATACTTTTAATTGGATTTGTATTCAATTTAATTTATGATTTCACGTTTTCATTAAACCAACATAACATCAACAATAAACATTGTACAATATCGGGTACCTGCCTAAATACATATTTAACTTAGTATTTCTTTTTCATTTACGTACAATGCCACGCAGTTATAGTTTTTTTATATGTGTACGTTATTTGTAGCTATTATTTGGTAAAACAAATATGTTTATATACTATGTATGCTAAGTAACTATTTATGTATGTATGTATGTAGGTATGCAAAGGTTGTATACATATAGGCATGTATGTATGTATGTATGTATGTATATGCAAATGCGCTAATACTAAGGGTATAGATTTGTATTTGCTTATAAGATTATTGTTTTATTTATTTTTTGTATTTTATTTATTGAAGAAGCTTATATATTCTTTATGTTTCTTATACAAATTTATGTTATTCATCAAAAAAAAAAAATCTTAAAAAAATTTGATTGGATTCATACAAAAATCAGATGAAGGTTAGGAATTAAGAAGTCAAATTTGAATCAAAGATTAATGCCCGAAATTATATCCATTAAAAAATTATGGGTGTTTTTTTGTGAAAATAGAACCGAGAACTCACCAGTTAATATCCGCATGCAGGTAACATCTACATACATAGATATGCACGTATTATAGCGACACGAAAACGTAAGAACCTAATTCATTGGCGCAAGTAATGAAAATTTATCCAATAAAAAAACATTTTAATCATAGACAAAATGTACTCTTACAATGGGAATATTTGCGAGTTCTAGGTCGAAGACATTGGAAGAAAAATCTTAAAGAAGATCGGCTTCTTCAATAACACGGTGCAATAAAATTTTGTACTTATTTTACCACAAAAACGAGGCCAACTTCATCTTCTAGATTTTTTGGTGCTGATTTGAAGTGCATTTTCTAGCACGTCCAATTTTTGAGAAAAAAAAACTGTTAAAAGTGTCGAAGAATGGCAAAAATGGCAAATTTCAATTTCCTTTTTTTTAATAAAATTTGGGCGTAGATTTTCCGAAGAAAAAAAAAACTGTTATTAATAAAAATCCAATTCGTCTGATGGATTCTACCTTATGTCGAAGAGTTGATTAGAAATGAGTGAAAAATTTAAAAAAAAACTTAGTTTGTCAATAGCATGCACTCGTTTTCGCCAATCTTTTGATCGCGTTATCATTGCTTTTCAAGGTCTAGCAATAGTCAGCAATAATCGTTCGCCATGTTAGTCGCGAGTGTTTTTTTACAAAATTTTTTTTTTATTTTTCCATCCTTTTCTACTCAATCCATCGAAATGAGGTAGAATCTATCAAACGTATTGGATTTTCATTAATACGTGGTTTTCTTCTTCGGAAAAACGACCTTCAAATTATATTTTTAATTTTGTTTTGAAATTTGCCTTTTTTGAAGCTTTTCGACAGTTCAACAGTTTTTTTTTTCTCAAAAACTGGACGTGCTAGAAAAATTTGGTAAATATGTATACTTAAAATCAGCACCTAAATATCCTTATAATGAGGCCGGCATAATTTTTTTAGATAAAATAAATAATATGGCACGCATTGCAGCTGCAAATATCCTTAAAAACTTCCGAAATAAATCAAAAAAAACCTTGGGCCGAAAAAAAATCGTTATTTTGCACTGTGGTCTAAATGCCTGTTTTTATGGTCCAAAGGTTATCTTCCTTCTACTTGAAAGTAGTTTTTTTTCCAATATTCATATGAAAAAAAAGTCGCTACTTTTAAAACCCCTTTATAGTACAGTGGCAATTTTGATTTAATGTGGCTGAATTATACTAATTTTGTGTATAATACCTGAAAAGTATGCATTTTT